AGCATTAGAGATTACAGGAGGATTTGTTTAAAACAACTGTGCAGTTCCTGACCCATCAGTTCCCCCTGCTTTGGCTGAAAATTCCACCCTTTCCCTTGGTAAAAAGGTCTCCCAGCTCGCCTGACGCAGCAGCTTCTCTCTGTTGCTTGGATTTCTTTCCYTTTTCTTTCTTTTTCCTGTAATTTCTCTAAGTTTTATGAAATGGCTCCTTGTTGCTAGAAGAGAGGCCAGAATGGAATGGCTGCAGTCAGGAAAAGCAGGTGGGTCTGCAGTGGGACATGTTCTGCCTCAGAGCTGTTCGCTCTGTACACACTGCTGCTTCTTGGGTGAAGGCCGAGTAAATAGCAACAGGACAAACTCAAGCTGTCCTGGGGAGCTTCAGGTCRGATATCAGGAGGAATTTCTCCTTGGAAAGGATGGTCAGGCACTGGAMGGAGCTGTCCAGAGAGGTTTGGAATCCCCATCCCTGGAGGTGTCCAAGGAACAACTGGCCATGGCACTCAGTGCTCTGGGCTGGGTGRCAGGGTTGGACTCGGTGTTCCTGGAGGCCTTTTCCAGCCCAAGGGAATCCGTGACTCTGTAATTGTGGTGTGTTCCAGTGGAGTTATCCGTGGGCATTGAAGGGACTGGGAAGGGAAGGCATGGACACAACTAAATGTACAGGAAACTGGTTTTCCTTCATTCCTKTGTGTGTGGGATGGCTGCTTCTCTGGTGCTGACAGAATGTGCTTGGTGTGTTAAAATCATGCAGAGCCCAGGGGAGGCATTTCAGGCAYRGAATCACRGAGTGGTTTGGGTTGGAATGACCTTAAAACCCACCCRGTGCCACYCCTGCCATGGSMRGGACASYTCCCACTGTCCCAGGCTGCTCCAGCCCCAATGTCCAGCCTGGCCTTGGGCACTGCCAGGGATCCAGRRGCAGCCACAGCCTCTCGGAGCAGCAGTTGTYTGGGGAGTTCTGCAGGTCCCTGGCCCATTAAATAGTTAAATTTCAGAAGTTTTCTGTGATCCACAGTGTGTGAGATAAGGCATGTGTTAGTGATAACAGGGAGATGGGAAACCAGCTGAGTCCCTGTGCCTGAATTTGGGGGAGGTTCTTGGCTGTACCCCTCTGAGTGGTTTGGAGCTGCTTTTCATTCCTTTCTGGGAGGAATGCAAAGCAGAGCCTTGAATAAAACCCCTGTGAAGTGATTCTGGAAGTGTTTGCCTTGTGCTRTGTGACACACAGTGAGTTCCTTTTTGCTGCACTTCGAGTACCATTTCCATATGAAATCCAACTAATTGGCTTCTGGCTGTACAAACCCAGGAAAGCCCAAGAGCTGCTGGAGCTGGAGGAACCAGCAATCACTGCCATCCCTCCCTTGTTTCCTGTCAATAAACACATCTCAGTTTTGGAAACAGCTGTCACCTGGCTGCAGGTTGAGGTCAGGCTGTTCCCCGGGTGCTTACGGGAATAAAGCTGCTCTGTGTGAAACAAAGCTCGGGAATCGCTGCAGGGATGGCTGGCAGGAGCTGCTCCCAGGGATAGCAGCAGGCACAGGCTGTGGCAGCCCTGCCYATCCTGGGATGGGGACACAGGCTGGGACAATTATGTGCTCAGCAGGAGCAGTGATCGTCAAGTTCCTTCCTGCTGGGTGCTCGGATTTGTTGAAATTGGGAGGGATTTAAGCTGAGTAATAACACAGTCTGATTCTTGTAGTCACATGTACACACGAGTGTGGTTTTGGGGGAAGCTGGTTGTGGAAGGTGTGACGTGGAGCATTCATTTTTAGGGAAGRCCTGAAGTGACAGGACAAGGGGARTGAATTCCCACTGYCAGAGGGCAGGGATGGATGGGATTTTGGGATGAAATTGTTCGCTGGGAGCGTGGGGAGACCCTGGCACAGGGTGCCCAGAGAAGCTGTGGGATGTGTACAASGTGAGGTTGGAGATGCTTGGAGCAGCCTGGGACAGTGGAARGTGTCCCTGCCCCTGGCRCTGGGTGAGCTTTAGGGCCCCTGCCTGGATCAGTTCTGCAGCCGCTCAGAGCTGTGCTTGTGCTCCTCTAGAACACAAATCGTGTAGGTTGGAAAGGACCCCTAAAGGTCATCGAGTCCCACGCCCTGCCAGGAGCATCTTCTATCGATTTAACAATTAAAGCAAACAAACAAACCTCTCCCAAACACATCCMCACCCGGGGCAGGGCAGAGCCCTTTGAACCCAGCAAGGACACCAGACAGGGACACYGCGTTTGTCCTCCCTGCAAACACACGGTGAGCTGGGATTTGAAGTAGGAAATAAGGTGCCTGTGGAATCCTTGGTAATGGGGAATGTGTTCAACATCCTCATTGCTGTGGAGTTTGAGAACTTGCCAGTGCTTCACACCCAGGCCCCCMTAACCCAGGACCTGGTGTTCAGGAGTGGCTGGGAGTGGGTTCTTGGAAAGAACAAACAACTTCTGGTACAGTCTCTTCTCCTCCAGCAGCCCTGCCTCAAGGACTTCCTGATCCAGAGCTGGTGGGGGAGAGAGCTGGAGGCTTCTTCTTCTTCTCCTTCTTCTTCTTCTTCTCCTTCCCCTTCTCCTTCTTGCTTTTATTTTGCCTGCCAGGCCTTCATCTAAGCTGTACATATGTACATATATGTGCATATATGCAAATATATATGGGCCAGTGTGTCAGCAGTTGTTTCAGATGTACAAGCTGGACCCCCTTGCTGAAAATTCCCAAAGATTGCTTTTCCAAGCACCCCACTCATCAGCTGCAAAAGSAGGAAAAAACAGTCTTTCTTGTTTTTAATAAATGGACACAGGTAAAGCAGCAAARTCCCAGCTTTTGGATGATTGTGCCCCCAAAGCCCCTTTAGGCTCAGAGGAGATGTGTCTGTAGCACCTTTCCCCATTCTGAGGTCTCACCTYCCACGTGGCCCACGGTCACCGCAGAGAGAAGCAGCGTGACTCGAGGAGGGGACAAATTCAGTAAAATCTGAAACTAATTTGCCACCCTGGCACCTGTTCCCCTCTCTGGGGGCCGAAATGAGGAGACACGGATAAGATGGAGGCTCAGCTGGGTTGTTTGTGCTCTTGCCCTGCTGCAGAGGTTCCTGTGCACCTTTCACACGCCGTGCACCCCAGTGCTGGTTATTGCTGTGCTTTTATTGCTGTTTGGGAAGAGCTGTTGATGGACATTCCCTGGGAGTGTTCCTTTGTTCTCTTCCTGCTGTGCCATTCGGTGGGAGCAGATGAAAGGTCCTTTCACTCTGTCTGAGCTCTGCTGTTCCTATTTCAGTACCTGTGCTTTGAAATTAAACTCTGGCTCGGTACAGCCTGCCTGGTGTAGTCCCTGTCCCTGGAGGGATTAACAGCCCTGRGGATGTGACACTTGGGRACAGGAGTCAGTGCTGGCCTTGGCAGTGCTGAGGGAATGGTTGGACTCGATGGGCTGAGAGAGCTTTTCCAATTTAACCAGTTCTGTGATTCTCATCCTATGAAGCCAATGTGCTTCAAGTGAAGTTTGGTTTCATGCAGGASTTTAAACAGTCCCCCACCCAAAGCTGGGCTCATCTCTGGGCGAGTCCTTCACCTGCAGCTCCAAACAAGTGTACAGCCAAGATGAAATCTCGCTTTTGTGTCACCAGGAAGTGTCAGTGCCTGGCTGTCCCCTGCCCTAGCTGAACCCGCTGTGACTCTCCCAGCCCTGAGTACAAAARCTTCTCCTCCGTGTTTGGCTCTTTGAAGCCCCCGAGGTCCCCGGGGCCATCAGGTTGTTGCTGGTGCAGAGAGGAACTGGTTTAGTCAGAGAGAGAAAATCACCAGTTTCGTGCTGCCAGTGAGTGTGAGCCGTGCTGTGTCTCACAGCTGTTCTGATGGGAACAGGGTTTCATTTCCTGCACGGCCCCTGCCGCTCGCTGCMTTGCTGTTTTTTTCTGAACCTGTTTGCGGTAACTCACGACACGTCCCCGAACTCGGAGAGGAGTTTCAAACCACATGTATTTTCAGAGCACTTGCAAAACAGATTTCTTTACTCATCTATTTGTACATAACATCTCRAGGTGTTTGTCTCGCTGAAGGGTAAGAGCCCCGGGGATTCACACATTAGGCTGAAGTTCTTCAGAAGGATGGAAGCAAGAGCCCAAATATYCTTATTTAGGCTGCACTCATCTGAGAAAATTCATCAGTGTTATAACTTGCCAGTCGAGGAACCTGCTCAGTCCTGTGTCCTGAAAAGTTCATACCTTTGTGCTATTTCTTACATTTAGGGGACAGGGAGAATGGAACTTACTCATGGGGTCCTGCTCTGCTGTTGAGAGCTYATGGGGTTTTATTTTGAATTGTGCTGTTCTACAGTACCAAATTTGGGTTGTGTGCCCTGTTCTTCCGAGAGTTCAATGTGCTCATTCTCTCAGTGCAAATAGTTCCACTGAACTGCTTTATCTTATAAATAGAGACCTTTATTTGGTGAGGTGGGGAGGAGAAATTCTTCAGAAATCTCTGTTCCCACCTCTTGCAGCGTTTCTGTGGGAYCTTTAACAAGGGCATACAGTGCCAGGACATGGGGAATGGCTTTAACCTGCCAGAGGGCAGGGATGGATGGGATTTTGGGAAGGAATTGTTCTGTTCCAGGCTGCTCCCAGCCCCAGTGTCCCAGCCTGGCCTTGGGCACTGCCAGGGATCCAGGGRCAGCCACAGCTTCTCTGGGCTCCCCACACTCCCAGGGAAGAATTTATTACTAATATCCAATCTAAGTATGTTTTACACCTAATAATAAGTTATTTCAGATAACAAGATGCAAATTAAGATCTCTCCCAACCCAAACCAGGCTGGGATTGTACACCTCAGACAAGTGCTGGGTTTGAGGTTTGGTCCCTCTGTGCTGAAAACCATGGGTTTGATGGAATACAAAAGGTGAGAATTGTCTGTTTTTCCCATTCTTYCAGGGGCCAGGAGTTCTGGGTGGATCTGAACCTGATGAAGTTATATGAAAGTGCAGAGTTTGACCAAATGCGGCGCCTGTCCACAGCCTCGTGCCCCAGCTCCAGCTCCAGCTGCTACACGGTGTGGAAATACTTCTGCAGGGACCACTTTGGCTGGAGAGAATATTCTGAGGTATGGCCCCTCCCCAGTGCTGCTCCTGTGCTGGACCCCAGACTGTCCCTACAATCCATGCTCAGCCTTGTTCCTCTGCAAACGCTCAGGGAGCTGCTGCTGAGGGAGAGTCAGAGCTGAACAGAGACAGCTCTGCTTGCTGGCCTGGGTCATGGCTCTGTGATCCTGTGACTTGAATTAACCCTGAAAACATTGGAGATGTGAGGGCTGAGCAGTTTGTGTCAGTACCAAGGAAGCCCTTCTGGAGCCTGGTTTGGTTTAAGGGACTGGGACAGTTTCTGCAGCCTTTGGAACAGCAGCTCCATTTACCTTGGCAGCTTTGAGCTCAGTCCCGTGTCCCTGGAGCTCTGCTGAGGCTCTGGGTGCAGCCCTTGGGCTGGGCACAGCTGATGCTTGCAGTCAAACCTCATCAGTGTTCGCAGTCCCTCCCAGAAATAATTCCTGAGTGTAAGAAGTGGAGAGAGCTGGGCAAAAAGAGACACAGAGAGTTGGGCTGGAGAGAGCTGGGCAGAAATACCACAAATAACAGGGTGGGAGTGTTTGAGTCGCAAGGAGAACTTCAAGGCCTGTGTTTGTGCAGTGAGAACAGGAATGTGAATTTKGGAGGTGAGGAACAGGAATGTGAATTTKGGAGGTGTGATGTCTCACGTGTGTTTCCCTTTGCTGTTTTTGCCCRTTTTTKCCYGTTTTTGCGGAGCAGCCGGTGGTGAGGCTGATCGAGGAGGCGAGCTGCCGCGGGCTGCGCGAGGTGCGCTTCGTCACCTGGCACAACCAGTACATCCTCAACATCAAGGAYGGCTTCCAGCAGAACTCCTGCTTCCGCAGGGAGATCAAGAGGCGGCCCCTGCTGCGCTCCTGCGTGCTGCTGATGCCCTTCCTGCAGTAGGTATCCTGGAGAGGGGCACTGCCTGCTGCTCTCTGCTGCTCTGTTCCTGTGTGTGCCAGGGAATGGCCGCTGTTGGGGGGAAATGGGAACAAGAATCCAAAATGGGGCCTGTGCTGGCAGCTCCTGTCACCTTCCAAAGTCAGATTGGTCTGAGGGGCTCTTTGCTGGTATTTATAATACACCCTGCAGGTGTTTGAGCATCACTTGTGCTGCATTCCTGTCCATTTCTCAGCGTCCCTGAGAAAGTGTCCCCATTTTGGCAGGGGGTGGCACTGGATGAGCTTTGGGGAACCAGCCCAGGATGGTTTAATGGGAGCACTGGGTGTGCTGGCAGAGGCCTCAYCCCTCTGGTCCCGAGGGGAGGGTGGGTTTGGTCACAGCCTCACAACACGTGGGCTGGGAAGTGTTTTCAGGCAGGGTTTTACAGGAAGGAAACCCCAGRTTATTAGAGAGAAACTGCAGGGTGCCAGTAAAAAAACAAGTGTGAACTTGCTGGTTAGAGCAGTCCTGGTTCTCATCCTAATCAAAAATGAGGATTTCAGGGGTCCTCCTCGTGTTTTGCTGCCTGGGACTATTCTACCACAGTGATCTGCTAAAATCATGCAATTCCCAGTTAATTCCCAACTAATTTTGTTGGACCTTGAGGGCTCTACACTCGCAAGGGATTGACCAGAACTTGTCTGTGCCAAACCTACAAACTAAACTCTGAGATTTCTGGTCTGCACTAAACCTCACTCTGAGTTTCTTTACCCAAACACCTTGTGACGCTCACTTAGAAACGTCAATTCTTAGCAAGAACAAGAGTATTTTAAATATTTATGGGATCCATCCTTAAGCAGTCAGTGTTGCCTTCATTTCCCACATGATGCTACCTGAGATTTGTTCTTTYCCTCACCTCCCACCTGCTTAAATCTGTTCTGAAATTGGAAAAGAATCCTTGAATAGAAATGAAAAATGTTGACTTTTTAATGACTTCCCATGCAAAATAAATGATATTAATATTTTACGCTAGTCTGCAGAACCGAACAAAGAAAAGGATTGCAGGATTTTTATTGGATTTGATGTCTTCCTCATTAATCCATGACTTCCTGGCAGTCTCTGCTTGGTCTTCCAGTCCAGTGTGAATGACTGAGGCTCTGCAGGAACCATTTACTTATCAAACAGGAAAACCAAACTAGAAACAAATGCACTGTAATATTTGATTACTATTTTAATAATAATTCTTAGAACAATATCCATTTTCTGGGGTGGCTGGAGGCTGCTGTAAGTGTCTGAGCACAACCTTTGTCCCTCCCCAGGACCCTGGGTGGCAGCTCCATGGTGCCCTCGCCGTGCCCTGACCCTGCCACCGCACACGACCTGTCCCCAGCTGCTGTCCCCTCTCCCAGCTTCTACCCTGAGACCTGGATTGGGATGGATCCAGCTCAGGACTTCATCCAAGTGCCTGTTCTGAAGGAAGACAAAAGCTATAGAACCATCTATAACCTGTTCCACAAGACTGTGCCAGAGACCAAATACAAGATTTTGAAAATCCTGCGAGTGCAGAACCAGTTCCTCTGGGAGAAATATAAAAGGTAAGAGAATGCAATTCCAATTCTTTTATAATGGATATTGCTAGAGGAGGAATTTTATGAGAGATCTGTATCTCCTCTCAGTACAGACACATCTCCTCTCAAATGCATCTCTTGAGATGTGTTTCATCTCCATAGCTCTGCTGTTCCAGAGGGTGACACCGCAGYGAGAACAGCTTTTCCCCGGCCAACCTGCAGGGAACATTCACTTCACTTGCAATTTTCTGTTCCAGGAAAAAGGAATACATGTCCAAGAAGATGTCAGGGCTGGACAGGATCATGAACGAGCGGCACCTGTTCCACGGCACCTCGCAGGACGTGGTGGACGGGATCTGCAAGCACAACTTCGACCCGCGGGTGTGTGGCAAGCACGCCACCATGTTTGGCCAGGGCAGCTACTTTGCCAGGAAGGCCAGCTACTCRCACAACTTCTCCAAGCGCTCGCCCAGGGGCGTGCACTTCATGTTYCTGGCCAAGGTGCTCACGGGCCGCTACACGGTGGGCAACCACACCATGAGGAGGCCGCCGCCCGTGGAGCCCGGCAGCATCACCAGCGACCTGTACGACTCCTGCGTGGACAATTACTTCGAGCCCCAGATCTTTGTCATCTTTAAYGATGACCAGAGCTACCCCTATTTCATCATCCAGTACGAAGAAGTCAGCAGCACCGTGTCCATCTGACAGCCTGCGCTGCTCTGGTGCTACCCATCACAAACTCTCGCCTGGCAGCAGTTTGTGGGGGGGAAATAAAATCTGGACACTTCCTAACTGGTGGAATGACTTGGAAGGAAGGAAATCTGAAGTGACCAACTGTGCACTTGCTGGTTGATTCCCTATGTGGAAATTTGTACATATTTTTCCATTGTTTATAGTTGAAAATCCGTGCCTTTTGTTATAAAACACTGTTTATTTATGTTAGTAAATATTCGTGTTTCAGAATGTGTCTCTGGGTGTCATTTCAGTCATGTTCTGTGCCTGACACCATGCCCTTATCAACATTTCAGCRTGGCCATTTCTAGGAAATCAGAACCGCATTTTCATCCCAAGGATATTAAATAAGGCACTCTCCCTAGTTTTTATTTTCATATTTCAGAGAGATTGGGAGAGACATCACAAAACTACTGCCCTGCTCATCCTTTGCATTATTAAACAGAACAACACAAATAGATCATTTTCTGAAATCAAAGAAAATTAGGAAGAGATTAGCATGGTCTGGGGGGAGGGTTTRAAACCTGGGATGGCTTCCCAGCAGCTGATGGGACACAGTCTGCTGTCCCTGCCTGTGCAGGGGTGGGGACAGGATGGGCTTTAAGGTCCCTCCCATCCCAAACCAATATGTGACTCTGTTCACCTCAAGAGTGAATGTGCCCGAGGTGCCCTGTCCTCACCAGAACCTTCCCAAGGAATTGTGTCCCTCTCAAGGCTCCTCACAGCACAGGGAKCTCGGGTGGCTGCTGCCCCTCTGCAGCCCTGGGGGCTCAGTGGCTCTGCCCCACACAGGAGCTGTGCCTTGTCACAGCCCTGCTCCAATCCCTGCTTCCTGGGGCTCACAGGAACGTGTTTTGTCACGGGATACAATTCCCTATTCCCACCTAACCCTGCTGGTTCCTCCCCTGCTGGATCCCTCCTGRTTACCCTCAGATCAGCTCAGCTGCAGGTGAGCCGAGGGGGAAGGCACAACCAGCTGCTTCCAGTCACCCCAATATCTCGGGAGGCTCTTGGCAGTGCTGKGAGAGCTCAAATGGGACAGGGGCACAGTGGGGTGGGAGCTCTTGGTGGGATGTGCAGCCTGGAGCTGCTCCTGAAACAGCTCGTGTCCCACGGGAGGGCTTCGGAAAGGTACGGGGGCAGGAGGAGGGGATGGAGCGGGGCTGGGGGTGTCTGAGGTGGGGGCTGTGCACTGGGGGCTGCGGTGGCTCCAGAACGGAGATTTTGGGTTGATTGCAGAGACAAAGCCTTGGAATGAGTGTTGCTGTTCTTGTGGGTTGGTGTGGAGTCGTTCCCTCCCTCAAAGCTGACCAGGCTGGGCCTGGGGTGAGCAGGAGGGGAGTGGGAGGTGGAAGAGCTGCTGAGAGGGGGGGATTTGCCTTTCCTTCCCCTTCCSTCGCCCTTCCCACAGGCGGGAAGTTGTGGTTTTGCCTTGGATGTTGTAATGGGGTTTTGCTTTTCCTGCTCTCCCTCCTCCACATCCCCGTGCCCAGGGACACTCCCGGGCAGGGTCTGCCTGAACCTTCCCCTTTCCACCTGCCCTGGGGCTGTGSGATCGGGAGGGCGCTCCGTGACCCGCCGCTGACAAAGCACTGAAAATATTTATGGTGTTTCCAGGCCGACGTGCGAGAGTTTGAGCCGCCCTGCGAGGGCTGAGCTCCTCCTGGGCTCCTCCTTTGGGCCACCCGGGCCTGGCCCCGTGGCTCGTCCGGGGGTTCGGGGGATGTGGGACTGGGCACGGCGGTGTCACCCGTGCCGCTGTCACCGTGCTACTGTCACCGTGCTACTGTCACCGTGTCACTGTCACCGTGCCACTGTCACCGTGCCACTGTCCCCTCGCTGCCGGTGCTTGGCCAGGTGGGCACTGGTGACCCTCCGTGTCCACCCCCAGCCCCGCACCCCTCCCGAGCCGGGCTCTGCCCGTGCCCACCCCGCGATCCTGGGGCAGGGACGGTGAATCGTGAATCGCTCTCGGAATCTTCTCGTGCCTCTTGGCCGGGTGTTGGTGCTGTCACCGGCCGAGAATTCGAGGATGAAACCGGGTGACAAAGGAGGGTTTGTGATAAAGATCTCGCTGTGTCACTGCCGGGACTGCCGCGGGTGACACGCCTTGGGCAAGGCCGGCTGTTGCGACAAGCCCAGCGGGGAGCCGGTGGCCCTGTGGAGTGGCACCAGAGGGACCATGACGGTGCCCTGGAGCCGCTGTGGGGTGTGTGCTGTGTGCCCCGGGCAGCCGGGAGGGCCCTGCTCACTTTTTGGGGACCCCGAGCTTGGGGACTGCCAGCTCGGTGACGCGTCAGTGACAGTAGCTCCGGGCCGGTGACGCGGTGCCCGTGAAGGATGAGCTCACCTCTGCCTCGGTCACTCTGGTGCCTGGGATTTGTCATGAGACAGCCTGTTCTGGACAGCGGGATAAAGGTGCCCCAGAGGCCGGGAGGAAGGAACATCTTGAGCAGGAGCTGATTCGGGAGCTGGGCACAAGGGCAGGAGCTGTTCCTGTGTGTCAGCAGCCCGACAGGGAACAGCCAGACCGTCCCCCTTCCCCACGCTGCTCCCGGGCTCTGCCCTGCCCGGGTTTGTCCCGGCGATCCCGGGGCTCGCCAGCCGCGGCATTTCATCAGAGAATTACCCTGGGCTGGGGAATGGTTCCCGTTCCCTCCTGCCAGTGCTCGAAGGCTGCCGGGCACAGCTCTGTGGGAATGTCTGGGGAAGGGGCTCCAAGGAWGGCGCAGGCGGTGGGTGGTGATGGTGGGGAGATTCCCTGGGAGTGCGAAAGAGCCTCRGCAGGCGCCTAAACCAAGGTCCTGCTCAAAGCAGGGTCAGCTCAGGTCACACCGGGTGGTTCAGGGAGCGTGGAGCCGGCCCTGGAAATCCTGCACAGCCTCCAGCCCCGACAGTGTCCCCGTGAGGGGCAGGATGAGGGTCCCGCTGCCCTGTGCCGGTGGGTGCAGTGTGTATCACTCAGCCCAGCTCCCGTGGGTGTCCATGGGGTGCCTGGGCTGAGGGCGCTCCCAGGGATGTCCATGGGATTTCTGTGGCTCTCCCACAGCTCGCTAAAGCTTGGCCTGGGAAAAACCCTCTTTCCTCTCAACTGTTCTGGGAAAAGCAGAGTGAGACGAGGCCAGGGGTGCCCTCGGTGTCACAGCAGGGTGGGCACAGCCTGGCCCTGGCTTTCCTCCTGCTGGAGGGGAATTTGGCATCTCATGAGGGGCTCAGTCATGGGGTGCAGGGAGCACAGCACAATCTCCTGCTCCCCAGCACCGAAGCCCTGCCCAGCCTGGGGGTTGGCATTTTTTTGTTGCAGTTTTTAATGTGGAAGTGTGAGGTTCTCACCCGGAGTGAGAGCTGGGGGATGGATGAGGGAGCATCTCTGGCTGCCCCTGGGGTTTCTCCATCCCCACTGTGTCATCACCATCCGACCATCACAGCACATCCTCTGCGTTAATATTTATTTTTCTCTTATGGCTACAAAGTCTGTTTTTATGAGAATATTTTCCCACAGAACCAACAACAAATGTCAGGTTGACCTAAGGGCTGTTGTTGCCTCAGTTTTCCCGGGCTCCCTCTCGTGCAGCCGGCTGGGTACAAGCTGTCTCCTGCGCAATGAGCCGGCTGTAAATCACCTCCCGCCTTCCCGAGCACCAGGAGCACATTCCCGTGTGCTGACCACTCRGGGCTCTGCTTGGCCATGCACTCCCHGTGCCTCTGCAGCTGCAGGGGGATCCATTCCACACCCAGGGATTGCAGGGGGATCCATTCCACACCCAKGGATTGCAGGGGGATCCATTCCACACCCAGGGATTGCAGGGGGATCCATTCCACACCCAGGRATTGCAGGGGGATCCATTCCACACCCAGGAATTGCAGGGGGATCCATTCCACACCCAGGGATTGCAGGGGGATCCATTCCACACCCAGGGATTGCAGCTGCTCTGGGATGGGCTCAGGGAACACGGGCTTGGCCTGGTGGAGATGATCCAGAGCAGCTGTGGCTGCCCCTGATCCCTGGCAGTGCCCAGGCCAGGCTGGACATTGGGGCTGGAGCAGCCTGGGACAGTGGGAGGTGTCCCTGCCATGGCAGGGTGGAATGGGTGGGATTTAAGGTCCCTCCCAACCCAAGCCATTCCACGGTTCTGTGATCCCTGGATCTGCTGTCCAGCTCTGAGCCCAGCTCACAGGCCAGCCTGGAGAGTGTCAGTCCATCACTGATGGTGAGGAAGCTCCTGGCCATTCCCACCTCTGCTCCCCACCAGCCCAGGCTGCTCCAGGCCCTGTCCAGGCTGGCCTGTCCGTGCTGTTGCCCTAGGACCGCTGTTCATTGAGCCCCATCCCAAACATCCTCAGCCAGGTCACAGCAAGGATGGGATGGGGAAGTTCTGCAGTAAATACCCCCATGGAATCAAATTCCTGTTTGCTTCCCATGAACTCAGTGTTTGCACGGTCAGACCGAAACCTTTGGCTTTCCCTCGGATGCCGCACCGAGCCCAAGGCACCAACTGATGCCTTCTCCAGATAATCTCAGCTGGGATCTGCTGAGCTCAGAAGTCTCCTGCTGACAGAGATGGTCCAGGTGTTTTCTGTCTCATTCCTGCCCATTTTCCAGAGCATTAGGCACGGGAAGCACATTTTAGAACTGTCTGATAAAACCACCAAGTGTTTATAGTGCCCACATTTGTACCACATTCTGGAGGCCCTTGCAGTGCATGAAGATATTATTGCAAAGACATTATCTGTAATTATTGCAGGCAGCAAAACAGAAAAAGGAGGAATATTGGAATATCCAGGGCACCCCGTGTGTTCTGGACTGGCTGGAGCTGCCGTGGGGCTGCTGGAGAGAGTCCAGAGGAGGCCATGGAGCCCCAGGCAGAGTTTACCTGGCCCGGCTCTGGCAGGGACCCGCTGCTGCTCCCGCTTTAACCCCATCGGCCCCAGCTCCGTGTGGAGCSATCTCGGGCAGGAAGGTGCCCGCAGAGCTCCGGGAGATCCCCTGGGCCCTCCCCGCTGTGTCTGTTCGTGCTCCYGGGGGCTGTTGCGACACCAGCCCTGGCGTGTGAGCCGTTCCGATTGTTCCCGCTGATACTCGGGCTTGATCCGTGCGCTGCAATGGGCCGGGCTGGGGCCGCATCGCTCGGAGCTGAGCTCTCCCGGGGCTGAGCCTCTCCCCGGGCTGAGCCTCTCCCCGGGCTGAGCCTCTCCCCGGGCTGAGCCTCTCCCCGCGCTGTTCCC